GGGAAAATTTGTATATATATACCCTTGTAAGGCACTATGACATCACACTCTCCTGAAGAAGACTTGTAGTCAAAACGTTGAGAGAATAAAGATCTTGTTATAGCATTCTTAGTCTCTTTGTTACCTTAGTATACATAACTCAGATGAATTGATTTAATGTCAAGACTCAAAAAAATAAATTTTTGGCTCACTTCATACTGGAATATTTTTTATGTACAAAATAATGACTAATTTTATAGCCATATTCTCCACTACCTGTAACAAGTGAAGTGGCACACGATGATGACTATCCCTCTGTACAGTAAACATGCACCTAAAGTATCCACACACTTGACTTTCGAAATGTAGTTGTGAACATTCTGTTTGCCACAACGTGCTAAATCACTGCAATATAGTTATATTGGTATAAAATTGTAAGTTTATATTAACCTGTAAATATCTCACTAGTCCCTTACGTTCAGGATTTTTCTGCTTTATAATAAATGTCGTGAAGTAATGTTTACTTTCATCAACAAAAATTTGGTAGTTTTGTGTAAATTCGTAAGATGGAACCCACAGAATAATATTAGTTTTCTTTTCAACTTGTAGGAGGTTTTGTAGTACAAGGAATATATAATACATTTTCATGTATAACAGTTTAGGATAACAAAATCAAATTAATCTTGAATTTTTGTATCTGAAGACGTCTATGTGATTAAACGAAGAGAGTTTAAAAATGTAAAAGTTAAAAGTAGGAAGATTAGCTTCATGGAATTTGTTAAATGAGTCTGACGATTAATCGATTAGCAAACTGCACTAATTGCTCAGTTCTTGTCTTGGATGTTAATAAATTTGAAGATTTAAAAACAAATGATAAAGCACAATTAATTGATAATCACATTTCAATTTAACTTTGTTAAATTTACATCAATACATATATAAATATTATTTTTAATTTTTTGGACACAAAACAAATATAATGAATTTAGGATTAACTTAAGTGAAGTGTCCTTAAAATACTGATTGATCTTCAATTTATCTGTTGTGATTGGTCTTTAACCCTTTAATTCTAAGGCTGATTTCCGAAAAGCGTAAATTATCCACCACAAAAGTATGAATTTGATCTTTTGTATTAATTTTTCAATATTGAAAGAAATTGTATTTTCTATATCTGACAATAATATTCCTTGAAAACTGTATTGGATAGTGAAAAATAATGATTTAAACAAAACATTGAGGAAAATTAGAAGTCAAGAAGAAACCAAAATCATTACAAAATATAAAAACAAATTATTTTGATAACAATATCAAAGATATATAAAGAAGCTGTCATTATATATAGATCCTACACGTGTTCTTGCAAAGTTTGCAATGTTTTATCGAGGTATATAAACATCTGTGTTTCACAGGGTAGAACACAGATAGAAGCACGCATGCTGGTTTGGCGATTGTTTGAAGTAGAGGATATTCTCACATGTCACAATAAAGGGAAACTTTTTTGGTAGCCGTGGGGTAAATCTGAATTTCACAGTCAGTGGTATAGATATTTATTTGGATATATCCAATCTACACAGCAAAAGGGTTAAAGCTGAGCTGAACAAAAGCAATATTATGTTACTGAATGTTACTATCATATTGTCATTAAAACATGCTTCACTTTAATGTATTTTAGTAATATTTAAAACATTCAGCTTGCTAGCATTTAAAAAATAATTACAAATGAATCAAAAATACAAGAATGACAACAATAAAAAAAATAGAAATGCACGAGTCTTGAAAACAACACAAGAAAGACACAAATTGGTAAATACAAACAAGAAGCTGTTATCTATAATGGACTATCCAGGGTGTCCTTTCCACCCCACCTAGATTTTTTGCTAATTTCAAAATATTATTCCTAGATAATTTGTTTAGTGAAGAGGCTAACTATGTTCAAGACTGTACCATTTTAGACATGCTATTAAAAAAATCTTGGGAAATAAAACAACGCTGCTTATAGACATGCTACACTTCAGCACTCAAATGCCTAACACCATAAATCCCCCACGGGAAAATTCTGAAAGAAAACCTGAGCGTCAATTACTGATGAGAGCATAAATTCATATTGAAAACGGAAACTGAAATGTGCACAAACAGATGTAAATCGAAAATCTAATATTATAGGGTGTTTTTCACTGGTGTTTAAGTTAATGATAAATCTTTAAAGTTACTCTGGGATCTTGTATTTCCCAGCATGAATTATCCAAAAGACTAACAAAGCTTAATATATTTTATATTTATAAAGACTGAAGGACTAATGTTTGAAAAAAATTTGAATGTAAATAGTGTAAAAATATATATTTTAGGATTCGTAGCAACATGTAGGTGTATAAAGTTTCATTACTACTGACTAAGAATTGTATCATGATGGCAATAGAACTGGCTAGTACAGTATCAATTTTTTAAAAAACCTGTTCATTCACAAGTAATTCTGACCACCCGCTGACTTATTTAAATAATGTTTTAAATTTTAAGTAAGATGTAACAAGGAACATTGCTAAACTAGGATATATTCTACTCACTACTGTTAGTGCTACTCGTACTCAACACCGATTTCACAGGAGAATTAGGTTTAGTTGCTGTTTCGGAGGTTGACACAGCTTTCGTCGTCTGTAGTGTTGGCTGACTGACTTGCTTACTCTGTGTCATTGAAGTCGCTGGTCTGGAACTGGTTACAGTACTCTTGACTGGCTGAGAAGCTTTTGACATACTCTTATCAAACAAGGCAGCTCTTGCAGCCACGGAGAGGGTCTCTGGATTGCTAAGCTCTTGTTGAGCTTTACTGTTTCCATCTCGCATGGCCTTTTCAAACAATGCTCTTCGTGCTGACAGGGGAAGATCTGAAGGATCAATATTCTTCTTTGGCTCCTGTGATGGCTGGGAGCTAGTCGGTAGTGGTTTAGGTGGACCTAATGAGTGGAGAAAAACCACTGATTGCAACAATCAATAATTAAGCATATATTTATGTCAGCTCATACTAACTTAAATGCCAAAAAATCCACAGAAAGAAATTGCCATACACAGAATGAAACAAAAGTTAGTTGCCCCAATTGTTACATTGTCCCTATCATGAGGAACAACACTTTGAACAGTATGTAGTAATGTAGTCAAGAATTGAATATAATCAAATGTGAAATGAGACTGTATTTTTCACTTATATTTAGTTGTAAGTAACTTTTGATTTATCCTGTACATTAAGTTTAACTAGAACAAGATTCTAAAGTTAAGAGAAATAATTCATATTTTCAACATATTAATTATGAAAATGAAATATTCGATAAATGGAAGGTATATTTTGATAATGAAAAAAGGATTTAATTTTCTTTTAACTCATTAATATGAAAAAATATACTTACAAGGAAACAAATAAATAATCACAACACATACATGTATATATATTGTTTATATTTTATGTTGAGTATTTTAACTTGTGGTTCATGTGGAAAGCCCAAAGCCACACCAAGTTAAGCCTAAAACACAATGACTGCAAAAGAATATAGTTGTTAATGACAGTGCTTACACATGTATAACTAGAATTTCACACCCTGGCATCCTTGAAAGTTACAATTCACATTAAATGCTCATCATTCAAGATTAATATTTCATTTTGCCATAAACATTTTGTTTGCCATTGTAGCTAATGGAAGAAAGTGATTAATTGAATGTAACAGAGATTGAACATTTGTGAATCAATTTCACACACAGTACGACTGTATTCTACATACTGTACGCAACTACAGGTTCTATCAACATCAAAAGAATACCAGAAGAATTAGGAGAGATAAACAATAATAAAGTTTCAGAGTGTATGAACCTGCTTCGTGTATTAAATAATGTAGTGCTTAAGACAGAATCAAACAACATCTTATAGTATAATAAATCAGACTCACCGAGTTGATTAGTCACGAATAGTGTAACATATGAACAGTGCTACTTTTGCACAATAAACTATAATCATGTTTTTCAAATTGTCAATATATCATCAACAAAAAGATCATAAACACTAATGGCTTTAATTAATTTAATTACATATGAAAATTAACAATCAACTAGTTTAATCACATTTTTTTTTTTGTAAATGCATGCTTACAGCAGATATGGCTCAAATTAATTATGATTACTAGAACTTTAGTGCTGAGCCTGTTTGATTATTCCTCAAAAATCTTGATTGATAGCATTTGAAGCATAATATTGTTTAGTATACAATAGTACATTCACACACACTAAAACTTGATTATTGCCTGCCTTTCTTAAATTGTTTGGCATGGCATCAACATAGCCCATGTTTGTATACAGTAATTATGATACAGCTATGTGTGAAATCGTTTCATGAACATTTAATATCTTAAAATAGTTTCATGACCTCATTATGTCTTCCATTGGCTACAACAGCCAAAGTAAAGTATTTTGCTTCCATCAAAACGAAAGATTGATCTCAAATGGTAATACGAGCCTTGAAAGTATATCGAGAGTCAAGATTACCAGTTTTTAAAGTACAATAAACATCCAACACGGAATCAATAGCTCAAAGATTACACTTTAATTTACCATCCTCACTCCTTTGAGAATCAACTTCGGTATTTTTGGAAAGAACAAGAGAAGCAGAACTTTTAAAAGAAGGAGTAGGTGGTTTCTCTCCAATAGTCTTCTCATTATTTGGAATCTTGGAAGTGTTTTCTTGAATAGTTTGCTCCTTGATAACTGCCTTATTTTCTTTATTAAAGTTATAGTTGATCTTGGATGCAGAAGGAGATTTTGTAAACCCTTGAGCTTCCTGTAGAGAGACACATAATAGTTTATAGTTATATTCATAGTTTTACAATACAATTCAGAAGAATGTTACATTATTTTTCTATTCATTAATATCAGATTAACTGCCCAATAATGAATAACAATTATTTCTTAGAATGATGACAAGAGAAATCCAAAAACAGTTTATTAAATCTTTGGGCCTGCAATTTTAGTTTGGATAAAGTTCGTAGATTTTTGATTCTATAAATGAAGATTATTTTTCCTGGAAGAATTGTTTTTCTATTTGGTTAACATACGTGAGAATCTACAAAATGAATCGTCGCAATAAAACTCGTATTTAATTACTATTAAGTAATAACATAAAACTGACAAAAACTAGACAATCTACCAATTCAAAAATTTTTTTCTATTTGTGCAATTTCTCGTATGTTACCTAGTTACAGTTTACTTTCATTTTGAAATCAGACTTTCATCAGATAATCTACAGTTATTAGCAATAAAAATATGCATCTTGAATTCACAAAAGTGTAGGATATTTTGAGGAACTTCAAAAATGAAGGAAAATAAAAATCATGTTACAATATCCAGTGCTCCAGATAAGAGGCATACTGGTGTAATTCCCAGCCAACAATCAGCCATTTACGAACTTAAAACAATAATGAAAAGTTTCACTGCCATGAAGAAACGAATATGCCTCCTGCCACTTTAACTGTAGTACAGTAATTAATGAGTACATTCTTGTAGCTTTCTGCAGTTCTGCACAAGATCTGCATAGTTTAAACATAAGAGCTACAAAAATAAGCACTCTCTAGCTGCTAGATGTTTCTATTGGTGCACTCGTGAATTGTATATAAATAAAATAAAAGGTTGTAATTTCATTATTTGTGTCTATTATGACTACATCTAAATTAATCCCCTGCCAAATTTTACCTAATTCATAATTAGTTAAATTACTTTTTATCACAAAATGCTACTGCTGCATTGTGTAAAAAAGTTTAAATTATTCCTGCTGACAGAATTCTGGGAGTGATTACTCCTTACAGGAAAAAACATCTGGAGCACTGAATATCAATTACACATATTTATGGTGATTTTTTTTTATTTTGCACTGCAGAGGGTAAAATTTCTACAGATCTGGTCAAAATGGTTAATTAAGATTAAATTTTACAATCAAAATTTCATAACAACTAGTATAGAAAACAACAGTTCAATTTCGCAAATTAAATCCTAAAATTGCATTTACAATTCTTAAATTTTTTGTGATGAACATTAAGCTTATATTTACATACTCCATTTAAAAAATAAATTTAACCCTAACCTAGGCCTACAGGAAACTGAAGCTGGCTCACCTAAATACTTTTATATTTTAGTTAATTATGTATTATTTGGGTTTTAAAATTCATATTTGAAAAGTTTAATAATTTTTTAAATATAACCAAAATTTAACTTTGCTCCACAAGGCTTATGTTACTAAGCAAGAGCAAAAACAATTTTACAGGAGCCTAAAGTATTGTTAGATTAACAATTATCTGAGTAATTGCATGCCCAAACTTGGTTAATATTAACTACCATACAGCTCTGAATTGAGTTTAAATGCTTGCAAGACAAAATGTCAACATGAACTGCAATTAGGCAAGTAATCAGCACAAAGGAATAGCAGAGAAAAACCTATATTTCTTTTTGCCTGAAGAATTTGAGTTAAAAGATAGGTTTAAAGACAATCAAACTTGTTTTGCCAGGATGGTAAGACAGTATTAAGCTAAATACTAAAGGTAATTATTAGCTTAGCCCTTTCACTATGGGTAGGTCATAATGTGCACGTCATGTCCTTTTACAGTTACATTGAATATTTAATTAAGCTACTTTATTATCAATGTACATCAATAAACTTGGCATCAAAACATAGTTGATAAATAAAAATCTTAGTATTATACAAGTTTTAAGTTCTTAATTCTATAAAGAGTTATTTTAAAAATTCCCAATCTCCCTTAGTATGAGAATCGTGACGTGGTCTCTAGGTTTTCCCTCTTCTCTAATTTACTTACCACAGATCTTTGAAGTGTGGAATTTAAGGTAAATTAATCATTACAATATAGATATCACTGAGGCAAAGTATAATTTTTTATAGCCATAAGTCTTATTGTTTACAAAGTCATAAACTAGAAAATCAGACCCATTTGCCACACCCCCCCTTTTCACAAATGGAAAAACAAGTTTGGTTCCCCACAGACCTAACACACACACACAAGTATAGGAAAAGTCATTTTTCAGGTGTACTCTGTGTATATCCTTACAATTCTAGAAGTTAGTACAAACGGGTTAATTACTAATAGGTCTCAGGATGAATCAATAGTTGGAAGTTAAACTCCTACACTGTGTGCCATATCTGGTATCCTATGTGTGAATCAATGAAGGGTAAAAACTCACCAGTGCTGAAATAACAGCACGATCCCAAATTTCCACTTTTCTCACCTGCTGCTCATGCTTTTGGACAGTCTTCCTTTTCCCTACCTCCTGGACACCTGCTTTGCTGTTAAAGATGGCAAACCCACTAGAATGAGTATTGGGGTTCTGTCCACCACCTGAGACCTTACCAGCTTTAGAGGGTGAAGTCTTACTCCAAGGAAGGGAAGCAGACTTGTTATTCTGATCAAGAGAAGCGTTAGTGGTATTAACATTAGGTATCAATGTTGTTGATGAAGTTGCCCCATTTTTAGCCATACAGGATTTTTCAGTTACAAGTTTAGTGTTATTAGTAGAATTACTGTTAGTAACAGTTTTGGAAGAAGAAAAGTTAGTTGTGTTATTAGCATTAGTTTCATCAACAGGCTTCATAAAAGTTGTGATATTGTCACCAAACCGTTTTGATGGGAAATGGTAGGAGTCGTCATCCTCCCAATTGTTAATCTGGTTAGCAAGAGCAGCTAAACGAGCACTACGACTACTGGCAGAAGGATGAGAACTGACAGAAGGAATAGCTACCTCATGCTCAGCTACAAATTGTACAGGTACTACGGAGGAAGGTTGGGAATCCACTTCCATACCTACGAAAAAAAACATGGCCCACTAAATACAGTTTCCTCTAAAGTTACAACAGGTTAATAAAGAAACCAAAAACATAAATGAATTGAAAAGTAAGTTGGTATTTACTTTAGAACTGTAAGAGATGTTTATGTCTAATTTATGGCCACATGGATAACAGTAGTATGAAAGGTGAATACTAACTGGATTTTTGAAAATACAAGAGTATTATAGATACTAACATTATCTTTGAGATTTATACACTTAGTAATTTTAAGAAAATGATAATTAACTTCAAAACCATGTACTTCTAAATCATATACAAAACTTAAATCCAAATCTTTCCCTTTTCTTAAATGGGATATACAGTGAAATAATTAATACAATGTCATTCAAAATTTTCAAGTACAGGACTAAATTTAGCCCACATATAATATACTATATTGACATTACACACACAAAAACAGGCAAGTTGCACATTAAGGAAAACAGACATCATGACAATGACAACAGTAATTAAGCAAAAATAGTATGACTGAACTCCTTCCAATTAAAAACAACACTAATAATACGAGCCCAAACTACAAACTTATCTCTACATCATATACATATATAAATACAGCAATGTTAATTAACTCTTCCAGTAGCTCTAATGAATAATAATTTTTGAATTCATTAAAAAGAGATTCTAGTACAGACAGATTTTCTGACCATAATCCATACTTTTACCTTATAACGATGTACTTGTTAAAGATAATAATTATCGCTGTTACTAAAACATAGAAGGTAAAAAAATACTTACATTCACTTTCTAATTTTTTTCTTCTCAAAGCTGCTAGTCCCCGCACTCCTTGTAATGTGTCACTTACTGCAAATTCTTCACTCCCCTCATCCTGTGGTGCATTCTCTTTCTCAACATCTTCAACTTGAATAGCAGGGGTTTCCTTACTGTAGTTTTCAAACTTCTCTTTTGGTGAATCAACACATTGTCTTTTTGGTGACTCATCTTGCGGGACAGCTCCGTCTTTAAATGACCATACAAAATAATAAATATTTTATAAATTAATAAAAAATAAGTTTCGTTTAATATCCCGACGAGTAATAAAGAAGACATTTAGTAAGTTCAAAGGGTAGGTTCATGTTTCAATAATAACGAGACTGTTTAACATAAAAACTAAAATGTTGAAGAACTATGTTTACCAAAAAAAAAAAGGATTAATTCATCATGCAACAGTCTTCCTTTACCATTGAAATAGTATTTCTGTGGTGTAAAGTTTTGTTTTGATTAGCGAAAGAGAAGAAATCTTCGGCTGAATAATTTCTTCAAATGAAAGACGATTATTTTTCATATATTTTTATAGAAACAATCTGATTTGTTTTTAAAAAAACTTCTACAGGAAAAGATCTGAGATTTCTAAAACCTTAAAGAAGATGATAAAGTTAGTGTGAGCTTTATTTGTTTCTTGCAAAGGTTCCTCTGCCATACACAGTCTTGATTTTGTCACCTTTGTGTGGATGATGTACTTCATTCACCATCTAGGTCTACCAAATACTGTACTGGTATAGTTTCCTGGAAATCTACATATACTTACCAACTTCTACATACTGGTGTAATAATGGCATTCAATATGTTGTCTAACTTGTAATTCTAGATGTCCCGGATGGAGATTTCGGTCATGTGGGGGGAGGGGGGTCATCAAACTCATAAAAATGAGAATATGAATAAAGTAACATCACGCTGATATTGGCTTTTACCCTCTTGCCCCAGGTATCCTTTACTGTGCATGACTCAAGATTTTATTGTCTTACATTCAAAATTTTATTAAAGTACTTTTTGTTTGTGTTATACCAATTAGTATAGCATAAAATCATAGCTAATAATCCATATTTTAATAGTATATAAGTCTTACGTTCTTAATTCTACAAGGTAATATTTTAAAAAATATTGAATTTCCCCTAGTGTGACACATTTTCCCTAAGTATCTCCTGTATTTTATCCACCATCCCTATAATAACTATGAAATTAAACATAAGTTACTCACTATAAAATCGTCATTGCTCAGACAAACCATGATTTTTTTTTGGTTTGGTTACAGAGCTATCAAGTAGAAAAGCAGGATTTGTTAACAGTTCTCTCTTACATTTAATTATATCTTACCTATAACCAATATAAGGCGAAGGTTTTCATCTATCAAATGATATATTGTATAACGTTGTGTTCTAAACAGATAAGCATCACTTAAAATACACGATACATTCCCGTGGGAAACTTAACAACTAGATTGGATGACTTTGTAATTTGAGATTTTTGAGATGAAGTATTTTTAATCTTAACATGAAAATCACTTTATGCTTGGACTATTCAAAACAAATACTCAATATATTCATGGACAAATCTCTATTTTAGTTTATTGAAAACACTTTGATTTTTGTACGTAAAAGGCTGACAATGTTTACTGAAACACTCACAAATTTCATGAAGATATACACACTATATCAAAAGTTAGTAGTATCTATAAAGACTCTATACAAGTACAAAAAGGTCACATGGTCGGTCAAATTGACCAAGCCCACGCGGAGAGAGAGTTAATGGTGAAGTTATCATGCTAATAAATTGACCAATTTATTAGCACACTTGTTGATATTACACTCTTCCATAGCTTAAAGTTTTTAAAATTCAAGAAACTTTACCAATTGTCTAGTTATGAGTCTAATTACCACTAACGAAGGCATTAATTAAAATTAATTGCCCATAGCTCATTGACATTGCAAAAAATTTGCAAAGTTTTTAAAAATCAAGAAACTTTACCAATTGTCTTGTTATGAGTCTAATTACCACTAACAAAGGCATTAATTAAAATTAATTGCCCATAGCTCATTGACATTGCAAAAAATTTGCAAAGTTTTTAATTCAAGCTATGAGGATGTTAACAAAGAGCATGCGTATCAATTTTCACATGTTTTTACCATTCTTAGCTAAAGTTATGGTGTTAAAACAGTTCATGTTATGTATTTATTTATCCCTGCTGTATTAATTACACATATGACTGAATGTGTACTTTCAGAGATTGCAACATCCTGCTTTTATTTTAGCTCAACTTCAAGGTTATAAATTTGCCCAGTTTTAAGGGTCAGTGCTACCTTAAAAAAGAAAACAGAGACAACTAGATCACCATAGTTAACTTTTATTATTACTGTAAATTCAACTCCTGTCAAACAACTACACTGCAAAGCACAACTGACCGTTATTCAAAAACTGGCTAGAGGGAATTTCTTCCGTTAATGGTGTACGTCGTTTCCTTGAATTTGCTTCCGACATTTGGGCAATTTTTTTGTTTAAGTTCTCACGGCGAGCTTGAGTTCTTTCCAAAAGCTTCTATTAAAAAAAAAAAGAACAACTTAATTTTAGTATAAACAAATAACTTGTAATGAAATGGAATGAAGGTTATGAAGTAAATACTATTGTTGTGACAAATCCCCTTAAGAAGAATCAAAGTACCCCCCAAAAAAAAGATCTTTGTGATTGTAAAGTTATTTCCCAACATGTCACTGAAACTATTAATAGACAGGGAAAATAACAAATACTTAACTCTAATGATTGATGCCAAAATTTTAAAACGTTGATTAAAATAACATATAGATGACATTGAACCATTTGATCATTCAAGGCTGTCCTCTCATGCCCACCTTTCAGAAAATCATTGATTCTTTTCTTAAATTCCTCCACTATTCAACCCGTCACAAAAATAAAACTCTACTGGAGCCTATTCTAAGCCTGTTACCGATCTCTGTATCAGCTATAGATTCCGATTCAATCTAAAGAATCCCAACCCAATTTTTAATAAGATCAGGTCGGTAAGTTTGTTTACCTATGAAAATATGCAATACATTCAGGTGCCTTCGTGATGGAGGGAGCAAATATATCCTGAAATAAGGTCAATCATAGAGCAGTAAAAATAAATACTGGTGACCGTCAGATCAGGTCCTGATATATATAAACTGTATCTTAATTATTTTTTTTAAGAAAGATAAATGCAAATAGATTTATTTGCCACAAAATATCCTAGCATCACTCAAAAAGTGCCTTTATTTCTGGTATTCAAAACTATTACTAGGTTCAAACCCACTCCCTCTGTTTTGTTACAAAGAGGTTTGTTATAGGGCTTATATTGATGAAGAAATACTGATTAGACATCATCTACATCATTTTGCAACTGACCTAAGGTCCTTGGGTCAACATTCCACTTTTTGTATTCCTATAAGTGTGTGATTTATTTGAAGATGAGTTTTAAAGCTTCATACACTTTGCTAGTACATATACATTATGGACTTCCAGACATGTGGAACACACAAATGCAGATTGTCAAAATCCGATTCCGATATCGGCCGATCATGAGTATGTTGGTACTGACCCAGTATTTCACTCAGGTCGCAGGCCTAGCTGAGCCTACCTTTTCCAAGTCTTAAACTTGTATCCTCCCCTCCAATTATCTTAAGAATGTAGCACAAAGAAATCAGAGGCCTATATCCTATCTTCCACTGTTCCAGATAATCTTGTAGTCTACAATAACATCATCTCTTACTTTTTTCTCACAATAAAATAATAACTTATCCCTATAAGATCATCTTTCTTCTCAATCCTTTCCAATAAGTCAATGTCATTTCCTTGATGAGATCAAAACTGAACACAGTATTCCAAATGAAGCCTAACTAATTATTTGCATAGAGAAATAATTACCTCTTCTTAATTTCAAGTATTATGTCTATAAATACATTCTAAGATTCCATTAGCTTTACTACTATTACTATTAGCTTGAGTGAGTTATCCAAGGATTCTTTTTTTTTTGTTTCAGTTTTGCTACTGAGAGTATTGCCATCTGAACTTATGTTTCAAATTATGTTAACCCACATCTAATATAATCAAAGGTCACTTGCTAAATATTTACCCAACTTACCAATTTATCCAAATTATTTTGTAAGTCAGTGTAAAACTGTAATACCTCAACATCCTCAATACAATAGAAATAACTTAAGTTCTACTTTTAGACATAGCAATGAATAAGTTCACAGGAACAGCATACAACATTAAATGATTAATACAAATTGTATTACAATGTGAACATCAAAAATAACTTTTATTTTTAAAAATTTATTTCAGCTGGATCCCTGAATCCAACGTTAGATTTAAAAAGTTACATTAAGTTAGAGCTCATACTTGGTTATTAATTCATATTGAGTATTTACTATTTACCTTTGTAAAAGGATCGATGTCACTTTCCATGTTTGTTGTTTCTGGAATTCTATCTATCGCACTGATTCGCAGTGTTGCTAATGTCAATGCCAGTAATAGTATACTATATAGTAGGATTTCAATGTCAATAAAATTAGGAATTTAGACTTTACTATATCGAAGCAGAGAAAACCGTGTAAACCAGCATTCAGCAAACGCTTAACTCTGCTAATATAGTACAAATAATAGTTATAAAACTACTCTATTGTAGTGATGTCACAAATTTGTACAAAGGCCAGTGAAAGTCCCAGAAGCTCGGATGACTAACTAACGAACGTACTTCGAAGTTCGAGTCGTAGACTATCACTCACGTACATTTGCGTTGGTAGCTTAACTTTAAGTTTTTATATTTTCTTCTCTATTAACCAGTTCACAAATATTACTTATCTGTGCATTCTTCAGTTTAACGTAATATTAAAGTATTACACAAAAACACTCCAAACATCGAAACAATAACTTCCAACACAACGCCAGTTCACAACGACCAAAATTTCAACTTTATGAAACTCCCAGATTTTCAAAATTAGCGGTAAGCGCATGCGTATTTTCTTACACGTAAATTCAGTAGGGAATATGTTTATGGAATGAAATATGAAGCAAACATATTTATATTTTTGAACAAGTTTTTGACCTGTTCAAGAATAAATAAACGAAGTAATGACACCATTAAACCGCGTTCATTTTAATCATCTCCATACCGCTCTTCTTCGGAAACTAATGATTTAATTAGTGACTTTCTTTACAAAAACAGATTTCAGTAGTGTTATAGTTCACTTGTTCTACATGAAATTTTAATATTATAAACAAAATATCAAATACTGGTATATGAAAAACTGAAACATTATGACTACTCTTTTCTCACAGAAGACTTTACGGTTACAAGTTAGTAGTTAATTACATCATAAGACTTTATAGAATATACAGTTAACAAGGAATCATTTGGTCTTTCATCCCGTTTAAGACTATCCTTACATCCCTCATACCCTAGGCGCCCCCCAATGACACAGCGGTATGTCTGCGGACTTCAACGCTAGAATCCGGGTTTCGATACCCGTGGTGGGCAAAGCACAGATAGCCCTTGTGTAGCTTTGTGCATAATTAAAAAAGAAACAAACAAACATACCCTAGAAAAAGAAAGCTAATAATTAAATTCGCACTTTTCAGGAAATCATTAATTTCCCTTTTTCATTTTTGAACGGTCCTGGCCTCCACTATTACCTATTCATGTCATACGTTAATCAAACTGTCTTAACTAGAACCTGTGACCTATCTTTTCCAAATCTTAAACTTATTTCAGAATACAACATAAAGAAACAAGAGGAATTTATCCTACCGACCCCTCTTTAATACTGTAACCTTAAATAAGGTCATCTTTTGCCCTTCTATACAAAAAATAAGCTAAGATATTAATTCATACCCATAAGATAAACCTCCTGCCTCTAGATTCATCAGAATAGTACAACTTTGAACCCTTTCCAATAAATTAGTATCCTAACTTGCAAAATGTTTATTACGAAGAAATACCCACTTATATATAAAAATAGACATGCAATGTTTAGATCTTCTACTCAGGTCATCATCAGGGAAGAGAAAATAACGATAATTTGACACATTAGAGAATACAATATTAGCATAATGTTCTACATGCGTGAAGCGAGAACATTAAAATTAGCCAAAAGT